AAAAAATCGTTCAGCTGTAGCACCCTTTCGGTGCCTAGCTGCCATGCTACCCAAAGGAAGCACGAGGGCTGAGATACTTCCAGGTTGCCCAAGCCTGGACAGGGGACGTCGAGAGGCAGAAGTCGGGTTCGAACCACGGACCTTCCGGCCAATAGATTCAAGCTCTTACCACTTGCGTATTTGGAATGGGGATAGCGTTGAACCTCGAAGGTCTGTGCGCACTGGTGTTTGTCATCAGCCTTTAGAAGTGGGTTCTGCCAAGAAATTACCATTGTACAGCAACGCACCTAGGAAACACCGACGGAACCCGCGCGCATCATTAGGAATCGATTGATGTTAGAGTAAGACGGATCGGTCTTTTCTTTCCTGCTTGTCACTCATGCAGATCACCGTTTTTATGGCTGCTGGGTAATTTTTCTTTTCCAAGGAGAGATTCTTGTTTGGTTCATACGGAATGTCAATAAGTTTTCGCTTCCTTTTACGCACATTTTCTCATCGCTTCCAGGTCCTCCACGACTGTAATTCACCCTACATCGTGGGCTATTATGGTGCATTTTTTGCCGACGGTGACATCAGTCTGTGCATGGAATACATGAACGGCGGCAGTCTGGACGTCGTACTACAACATGCGGGTCGCATACCCGAACCAATTGTCGCCAAATTCCTTTACTCTGTCCTCAAGGGGTTGGTCTACCTGGGTCAAACTTTGCATATTATTCATAGGTAGGTCAACTAATCGTTTTGTTTCGTTCTCTGCTACTACTGAGGAACTAGATAATCGACATCTTCGTGGGCAACATGTATGTTATCGTTCTGCCCTAAACGACGTGTATTTCCCCCTTGATGAAACACACGGCTCATGAGGTTTGCGGAGAGCTCTTCTTCAGCTGTAGCACCCTTTCGGTGCCTAGCTGCCATACCACACGGAGGCACGAGGGCTGGGATACTGTCAGGTTGCCCAAGCCTAGACAGGGGAAGTCGAAAGGCAGAGATCGGGTTCGAACCACGGACCTTCCGGTCAGTAAATTCCCGCTCTAACCACATGGTCCACCACGTCCATCTTTTCCATAACCCGTGGCTGGTTTTGCACTCCTTTTCTCCTGTGAGCTAGGCGTGGTCACCACTATAATTTGCGACTTAGTTTACTTTGTCGATCGCGTACAATCTGGTTTCAAGTAGCGCATAGGGTTGGTGGTAACTCGGAGACTGTGTCTGTGTGATGAGCCTCAAGAAGGGTAGTGGTTTATTCTTTTGGCTGTCCACTGGGATCTGCATACCTTCGAGGGCAAATCAAGTTATCCGCCAAACCATTTAGCCAGACTGCAAGCGTGGACTTTGGGTTTGATCCCACCCAATATTCTAGTAACACTTCTGGCTCTGTAGGTATGAGGTGCTTGCGAAGTCCTGAGAGCAAAGGCGATGTCTTGCAGAGTTGTATGGCGTAGCATACCATAGTGCAGTGTAGTATGAATAAAATGGGACCTCAACTGTGGCACTCTTTTGGTGCACAACCCGCAGTCATTGAATCATCAGTTTCTGCTCTGCGGGATGCCTTTGGCTGACAGGCAGATGTGTTCCACAACTCAATTACCCAGCCTTGCCATCCTGTTTTGTTAGGAGTATCTTAAGTTATGGTGAAATTTAGTTGTCTGCACAACACCGAGTTGCTATCTTCAGTGAGTAGACCGCTTAGGCCACAGCTACCTCCTAACTGGACCGCGTGAATGAACTGCTTCAACTGTCGGTGTTACGTGAACCGTGTCCTATCCATGGATGCTAAAAGTGACGTATTTCCCTGTCCTTCTGTGATCCCTCGACACTTGTCGCTTACTGGTTCTGTGCATGTTCCGAGTGAACAAATTCACATCAGATCTCTTTTTATGCTTGAGGCAGTCCATGCTAACACTCTCGTAAACTATGGCTCTCTAAATTCAACTTGATTCCTATATCACTCTGTTCGGTAGAGCATCCACGAACACTGGGAGTCTCAACACTCAACTTCACAAATCACAAATATCCCACGACATTTTGGATTTTAGGAGCAGAAACTGTAATAGCGATCATGTCGAACTCTCCTGTAACCGACATTGGTTCATTATGATTGACTAGACTGATAAGGATCGACGGAATGACAAACAGGCATCCACAGACCATCATGTGTTCGAAATAAACATTATCGGCTCGTTTGGAAATCACATCCACACACGTCAGAATTCCCCAATAGTCAACGTTGGGAATTCTGAAACGGGAATATTCGAGGCAATAACTCTCCAACCAATGACACGCGATTTATTTCTCCCGAATTGCAGCCAGTCCTCCCCTTTCGGTCGTTTGGGGGCGAGATGGTCCAAGTGGTTTGAGCGCGAATCTACTGACTGATTCGAGCCCGACCTCTGTCCTCGAATTCCCCTGTCTAGGCTTGAGCAACCTGGCAGTATCCCAGCCCTCGTGCAAACTTCGAGTGGCATGGTAGTTAGGCACCAAAAGGGTGCTACAGCTAAACGATTCTTTTTGGTTGCTTGCTCGTGAGTGGGACTAACAAACTGAAATCTACTCATCAAATGGCATCAGTGTTTGTTCACGGATAGCTATTCAATTAACTCCCAGGATTTGGGTTTTGGGGAAATTGTTAAAATGATAAACAGATGAAAAAGGAAAGGGTATGTGTTTCACCTAGCGTGATACAGATTTTTATGGTGAGACTATGCATTTGTTTCCGGAAGAGCACAACAGCTTCGCCTTCAATCGGTACTCAGTATGTCTTCCTCAAGGCTGACCATTCTCCAACATGACCCAGTAGGTCCATTTCTGTATGAAATCTCCCTTTGGGGACGCCGGGGTGTCTCGCTAACTTTTACACGACTTCGTTACGAGTAGATTTCATCTTCCGAACGAGTAGAACATGAAATGGGACGCTTCTTCACGTCTGTCGACCTTTATTCTGGATAGGACCAAATCTAGTGTTTTTGCCAATAACGTGAAAATCTGTCATTGAGGAGTTCAGATCTTCACTTCGAATCTGAACTTAGGCGTTCTGTCGAACAGTACTTAGCGAACAGAACTCTATGGTTACGTGACCGGAGCAACCGGGAACTTTCACATCCTATGTGTGAATTCAGCATAGCAAGTTTAGTTCGGTTGATTACGTTGAGGTAGCAGGTTCACCCTCGCTTTTCTAATCGAACCCTGTTGATCTGCACATTTGTCGTTCAGTCTAATGTGAACCCATCCAGTATTATCACACAGATCAGGTTCCAGGGATTTCCGAAACCTTTGTCTTTCGTTTGGGCAGATGTCTCCGTGCTTTTTTATCGGTCTGTCTAGGGACGTGAAGCCGTCCAACATACTGGTCAAACGCAATGGCGAGGTCAAACTTTGCGACTTTGGTGTCAGTGGTCAACTCACCGATTCTCTGGCGAATTCGTTTGTCGGAACGCGCAGCTACATGGCTCCGGAACGTCTTACAGGTGAACAGTACAACATATTAAGCGATGTGTGGAGTGTTGGACTGTCGCTTGTGGAACTGGTCACTGGTCGCTACCCAATCCCCGCGACTGACGAAAAAGTTTATCTGGCCGCCTTCAAAGCAGACCGGGCCTCGAATCTAGAAGAACACTTGGATGTTGCTAAACACGGACGTCCCCTCCCTGGTAAGTCTGGTCCACCCAGCTCTCTTGAGAATGACGACAGCGTTGTAGAACATTATGGATTTCATCAGATTCTTGTAACACCTGATGCCTTTTGGGGTGCAGCATGCTTGGACCAATTTGTTTTCCAGTACCGCTTATTGAGCCCGATCTAAAGCTGCCACCTTGATGTGGTGGTCGGGCTTGAGTGTTGCAACGACTCCGCCGGCTACGCTGGCTGGAATGCCGTTCTACAAGGTGCAACTATGCCAAGTAGGCCAAAGGGGAGCAGTCAGACTAAGACCAACGAGACCCCTTACGAGTAATCGTGCTACGAGGCGGTCTGGGGGTGAAGTTGTACTGTCCTCTGAGGCGGGAGTGTGAAGGCAGTAAAGTGTTTCCCCCAGGCTACCAGCATGTCCATATTTACGGAAGCAGCGATGTTGCCTTTCCCAGAGGAAGGACGGCTTAGAAAAGGTCGGCCCAAAAAACCGCACACTCCGATCGCCCAACCGTTGACCGTGACCGCCGGCGCATTATCCGATACGGTCGAAATACTTTTAAAACCAAAGAACCCGGTGATGCTTAAAAGGCACCTGCTGTGCACAGCCGCATTAGGAATGAGACAGTAATGCCTTATTCCCTGCGCCCTCGTGTTAGGCCAACCCCCTGCAGCCGAGCAGGTCAAACTATTGAATCATCGGCTCCCGGTAGGGTCCCCAAAGAAAACCCTACATTCTCCCACTGCCTTGTGGGTCAGACTTTTGAGTCCAAACTTTTGAGTCAGAGGCTAGGGGCAGGGTCTCCGAACAAACCGTGACATGCTCCCACTGCCTTGTAGATCAGACTTTTGATTCCAAGGCTCAAGGTGGGGTACCTCAATCCAACCCCGTTCTTCGGCCCACGCAGTTCCGTGTCCACTGGTGTCCCTCCCCAAACATTTTCCACCACAAGCAAACGTCGCGGAGTCATTTAACTGTCAGTTATTTGACCGAAGGGCCTTATGTTCCTCGCTGCCTATTAACAATAAACAAAATCACACCCTTCTAAATCCATAAAATCCTTTCTATGTAGGAGCTTTCAACGTTCGTGCTCTATGTCGAATTGGCCAACAGTTAATCCTAGTTTAAACCTTGTACTTTCTGAAAATTGATGTATGCTGTGTCTCCAAAACACGCATACAAGCCCCAAGCGCGGTTATGCATCTCAGAACGACAAGGATGATCTCAGCTCTACGTTTCTCCCTTCGCGTGTCCGATAACCCAGAAGCGATGACCCGTGAAATATATGGCGTGGGTGTTGCACTCAGCCTCAGAGCTGAACACACTTTGCTGGATTGGATCCCAGTGAACAGTCGTCTCTGCGCCGTCCGGTTATCCAGTTCAATTAAATTCAGTGCTTATCAACATAAAAAGCGGTGTCTGTTTGTAGTGTCGGCTTATGCTCCAGCAGACTGCAGTTCTGATGCAGAGAAGGATACTTTCTATCGAGAGCTATCCGGGCTCATTCGTCAGGCAAAAAGCACTGACACTGTTATCCTTGCAGGCGATCTGAATGCTCAAGTAGGTCGTCTGAGCTCTTTGGAATCACATTTGGGTGATCGATTCGGAGTCAATTCTTGTGCACAGACAACGGTGATCGGCTCTTTTGGTCATGTGCTAATCATGAACTGGCAAGTGTGAACTCCCAACATAAACACATTGCGTAACCTGGCGGCCACCGACTGCAAATCACCTGTGGGCCCAGTTAGACCACGTGGCCGTGAGCCACCGATGGAGAACCACAATTCAAACCTGCGGTTCCTTCCGGAGTACACCACTTGATTTCGATCACGCCATGGTGTGCGCACGCCTGACAGTTCGTATCCCTTCAGGCCCTCGCAAGTCAGCAAGAGGAATGCCAATCCATTGTCTTGGAGAACAACCATAGCTTGATAGTACCGATCTGAGCGAGCCCAACAACACTCCACCGTAAACCAGTACTGTGGTGGCAGTGAGCATACGGATGAAGCTATGTTAGCCGCGTTCACTGCTGCCTGTCTGACCTTTCCGATTCGACCACAAGACCACTGGATGTCGTCGAGATCGCTGTCCATGGTTGATGCCAGGAAAGCCATGCCAGCAGGCAACGAATACGACGGCGCCAAATAGTGAAAAATCTAAGGAAAGTCTAAGAGCTCTTGTGGACATTGAAAGCTCTGGAGATGGAGAAGACATTTGCTACGGGAAACAGCCGTGCCCGTCGGAAGGAGAAATAAAGTAGGAAATATCCGTACTGAAACGTTACAAGGCACCAGGAACGGACGGTCTCTATCCACCCTCTTCAAAGAAGGCGGAGAATCCCTGAGGACGCATCTGACAAAGTTTATTGGTGCTATATGGAACGAATACAAGGTGCGTGCAGAATGGGGCATGTCGACAGTTATCCCTATCTTTAAAAAGGGTGCGCGGACGCTGTGTGAAAACTATCGTGGCATCTGCCTATTAGCTGTGGCATTGAAGGTGCTCTCTGGTTTTATCATTCGAAGGTTGACTGAACACAGGGAGAGGCATATCCGTCAAAGCACAGCCGGGTCCCGTCCTGCAAGAGGATGCATCGATCATATCCTCACCCTACGACAGATTCTGGAACAGTGACACTGCTTCCAGCAACCAACAATGGTTGTGTTTCTTGATCTAAAACCTGCCTTTGACTCTGTAGACCGTCATGCACTATGGCAGTGTCTGTGGAGCAAAGGTGTCCCTCATAAATTCTTGACCCTCATTAAGGCGCTGTACGCCGACTCCTGTGGCCGTGTGGAGGTCAACGGGAAGCTCTCTTCTGAGTTCACCACACTAAGTGATGTCAGACAGGACTGTCCTCTTTCACCTTTCCCCTTCAACGTCGTCATTGGTACGATCATGGAAGACTCACTATCAGCCTCTAATGCCCGTGGGGTCGAATTGCTCCCGGGGCGTCTGCACACAGACATCAAATACGCAGACGACATAGCTCTTCTGGGATCTGACCCTGTGGAAGTGCAAAGGATACTAAATGGTCTAAATAATTCTGCCTCACGGTTTGGATTGCACTGTAAAGCGCCAATGTAAAACTGGATGGGCTTGAACCCTAGCCTGATGCTTACGTATGAACCGATTGAGGTAGTAGACAAATTTTGTTTGCCTGGGCGGCTGTATGGATTCCGGTGGTCTCGCAAAAGATTATCTCTCCCTCCGAATAGGCAATGTCAGCGCAGCTTCTGTGAACCTGTCACATGTGGCGAGGGCGTGACATCGGCTTATCCGTCAAGGGTCGAGTTTACAATGCTGCGGTGCGCTCCATATTACTATATGGATCAGAAACCTGGTCGCCACGTGCCGAGCACGTCAAAAGATTTTCAGTGTTTGACCATCGCTGTCTTTGGAGCATTGTACGAGTCTGGTGGGAACACCAGGTCAGCAATCCTGAGGTACGTCGAACGGTATGCGGAAGAAATAACTCACCCTGAATAGATGAACTGCTCACATTGTATAGGTTGCACTCGTGCATCCAAGCTATTGCCTTCAATGCATAGTTCTCTTCCCTCCCCATTCCCTCACCGACACTGCTGTAGTTACGCGCGAATTTATCAGCCTCCAGTGCGCATCTATCCACCTCACGAAATCATCGGTGAACGAAACTGTGGCAGCTACAACCACTGGACGATGGTCAACACGGGGACGCCATCCCGAACTCAGGTTTGGTGTTGTAATCCGACGGCATTACCAAGTCTGGATTGGGCGTTCTTTTGAAACCAGTGACTGCCCACAAATTTCACGCGGATTTTGAATGAAGACGCTTACTCGGGATTCCTAATGCATATGCCGCCGAGGAGAAGCCCTGTGTGACGAAACTGGACTCTGAAGCTGTGTAAAGATTTCATTCAGCCGTTCCGGGAACCAGTTAATAGTTTAGAGTAAGAGCTTCATCAGTCCCTTGAAAGTCTTACGTCCCAGACGTAACACCGAACACGCGCTAACTGTGGCAACCCCCTCAGTTGACTCCATTGGTGTGGTCAATTTTGCCTGTTCTGGCAAGCAGACAAGTGCAGCACGATTGTAGGCAATATAACCCTCCGGCTAACGTAAATCCCTGTCTGATTGTTATCTGTGACTTTCGTGTATAAAAGACAGCAGGCTTCGTCCTTCTTTGTTAGCTTTCCCTCCCGATTCCCACTCAAATGACCTTGGTCTTTACTAGCATGAGCTAGTACCTCTATCCTATGCATTGCCCGAACTTGAATTTTGAGGCGTTGGATACTGTCAGAAGCATCCAGAGATGAAAAGTACATGTGCAGAGAACGACGCGTCCCTAAGGTCACCATCGGTGCCACACGTTCCGAACAGTCGATGGGTTGGCGGAGCTGACCAAACACGGCTTAGAAGCATGTGACCAGCGGAGTGGGTGTGAAATTGTTCACGGCAGGAAAGTTGCCATTGGCTGGACAGAACGAACAAGCGAATGACCATGTTTAGCAATTTAGCCATCCTACATATTTACAGAGAAGCTCTGTCTGTGACCTCACAATACAGCCGTGTCCCGGGTCCGCTGTCTTCTTATGGCGTAGTCTGGGCGGTCAGTTCAGGTGTAACCAATAGACGGCCACCCACGACACAGCAGATACCTTGGGTCCATTTCCGATGAGCCCATTGGTTTTCCGTTCAGGCTGTTTGTGGAAACTCCATTCAACTCACCGAGTGCCGGTACGCAGTCTATCAGTCGGTTTGTCTCCTAATCTCTTCCATTGTGGCGATTTCTTCGTTCTTGAGAACGTACAAAAGGATTTCGTTCTTCTGTGTGAGTGTACACAGTGCGCGAAAAGAGGACCCATGTGGTCCTATTAGTTTGACTGTTTTTATTTCCTGAGTCTAAGAAGTGCGCAAAATTCAGTGAAACCGGCTATTGGCGGGGAACGTCGGAAATCGGAGGCCTAGAACGTACAAAACTTTCTATCCAGTGTGGTATGGTGCATAAGGGCTCTAAACTGGTTCGCAAACGATCGGTTAAATCATGACACCTTAAGTTTCATTTTTTCCTGCGGTCATATACCTGGCTTGTTTTGATGAAGCTTGTAAAAGCCCGCGTCCGCGTGGAAGTAACGTGTCTTGAGTACGCGCAGAAATGTGAAGCAAGACCAGCAGGTTTCTTCATCCCGCTCAAGTGCCATCTCACGGAGAACCTGCTTGTGTGGTTGACTCCCTTTGGAGGAAAAATTGGGTTACGTAGCATGGCACGCGTCAACAAGTGCTTTCTCCGAAGTTCGAGCCTCCAGTTGGTTTCACCGCACGTCTCGAAAGCTTACGACAGCCTTCTTTGGGACAGTAGATTCAGACAAACTGCCGTTGTTGTAACACCATGGATGGTAATTTGAACCCCGCAGGCTCTCAGTGAAGCGGTTATGATTGGGTCATGGCCATCTATTTTAAAATCCTCGTTTGAACATGGGAATCTCTCCTTGATGACTTAACATGATGCTCAACCGATACATTTGTTTGATGAATCTCGAAAACCTGAATCAGTTCCGTGGTTGGCATCATCATCATCATCGACATCATGACATCTTGTTCAACGCCGATGCTTCATTGCCGTACCCCGTGGTCGGCACCAGTTGTTGCAAAAGACGGACAACTGGTTTCAAGGTTTCCCATTTAGTAAGCTTTGAACCGGCGATCTGAGGCGCTTCCGGGTTTTTGACCACTGATGTCTCAGGATGATGACTGGCATATAATGGTATCAACGGATCCTTAACGGGGTGATGATAAAACGGGTGTTGGAGGTACTTTAGTTATGGGAAACGTCCGGGATCCTCAATTACGGTGGCTCGGATGTGGTGCGCACGCAGAGTTATTGCATAACAAGACGAATGTTCGCCTTACCTTCCTCAGAATGGCGCAAACTGCGGAGTAGACATCGTGGGAAGCGTGTGGAAAAGATGACCAAAAGTGTGGGTGTTGTTTATGCCGCCCGTCTTCTAGGATGAGTTCCCCGTGAATCCTCCCGTGCTTGGCTGGAGACATTGCAAGACATGGTGGTTCATCGATGTCAACAGCGTTCGTATCGTCAGTTCCCTACTAGCTTATTATCCGGTCGAGGGTTTAGAGCTGTCGGTGCCTTCACCAGGTTGCTTTCGCATCCGTCTTTTATCAACTTGACGCTCCAAGGATAATTGAATGGAAGTATATAACAGAGAGGCATCAGTGTAAACCTTTTTTTGCTGTCGACGGTGTCACTTACGATCATGACGCGATCTAGTAGGAGATATCGCCACCTGCATTGCAGATTACCAAATCCATATTCATTGGTCATCCGAACCCAGCTGTATATCTAGGACCTATGTTTATCTCCGCTACTTAACTGAGTCTGTTCAGCTCATCCGCCGACTTCTTATGGCCTTCAGCATCCAGACCGGCTCCAGTAACCATTCGTAACAATCGCAGCCCGTTGAACTATGAATCTTTGCCTGCTGTGTTTACGAAAGGTCGTTGATATCGGTCTAATTATGTCAGCCCTACAAAGTGGCCTGTAATCTCTTGCATGTACCAGCTCAACAGTGTGTAATTGCACTCGGCTATGCTGCGCTACCAGATGTGACCAATGCACGTGTCAAATGCACATCGCCTTGTTAGGAGAGTTTTTCGATGTAAAAGGGAGCTTTATTTGGAATTTTCAAATTCCACTCGACCTTGACAGGCAAGTACACGGGTCTTGGTAGATGACCTGTCTTTTCAACACTCAACAAAAACCATCCGGTCCACCGTCTTGATCATTTCTCGTCCATTTTCTTCATATTTGTTCCATCAACCCTTAAAAGGTTCATCTAGGTCGGACGGCTTTGTTTCCCTTGACCAGCTGTTGAGCTCCCGCCTTGTTACTTTGTCCAGCTGTTCTCTCTCTCCATCTATCGGGTAGCATGCAATCCCGCTGCGCACACTGCTGCGGTTCACATAACCGAAAAATGTTTTATTGATTACTTCACAAATAGCACTGAATGTCTTCGCGCACGTGGTATTTACATACCTAAGAAAGTATCCTGTATGTTTCATGTGTGCGATTCTCGCTCAGTTCAAAACTTCTTATGTTACACGCGCGCTTATGTGCGTTTAGAACACATCTCAACAAACACTATCTGGCAGATACGGTTTGAAGGCAATACAAAAGTCAGGGTCTCCTGAGTTCGTTTAGCGGCTCGACTACCATACGAAGAGCTGGGGCTTCGATACCCGGCGGTTCAGCTTTTCCGTCAGAGCGGACACTGGAAAACAGGTAGAGCCGACACGAACTTACAAGCGGANGGAGCAGAAAAATTGTCAATGAGGCATCAGGGCTTTCTGGAAGCAGTAGGAACTAAATGCCTAGTGATGCACTCACGTAGAGTTACGGATAGTCAGCCAGAGTGAATTGGTTGTATACGAAGATAAGGGCGCAGAAAACAATCAGTACGTTTGGGAGGCAA